TGGGGGCGGGGGGTGAGGGGGTGGGATGCTCCTTAAGCCAAGGGTGTGGCGCCTCTGCTTTTGGATCTCAATTTTGTGGGCCCTTGAGGCCAAATTTTGGGGGGAAGGTGGATGCGCCTAAGACACTAAATGGGGGAAAACCAAAAAGAAAACAAGAGAGATTGAATTTGGGGAGAGCTCTTGGAGGCTACTGTTTTAAATGAAGGTTTTCTCATCTTCTTCTTCTTTTTTCTCCATTTTCTTCCTCCTATTTATTTTCTGAAGAGAGCTTTGGATTTTCAACCAAGGAAGAAGCTTGAAGAGGAGGTTTAGAATTTTCAGCTTGAGAGCAGCTCTTGATAAATCTCCTTTATCTTCCTCTTTTTGCATCTCTGGAAGAGGAGCTTCCATTGGGTTTTGAAGCCATTTTCAAAGAGAAGAAGCTCGGCGGAGGAAATTTCTGGAGAAAATCCTTGGTGGAGAGCTTAAAGGATTCTTCTTCCTCAACTTCTACTTCTTCCCTTCATCTTCTCTACTCTTCTTATTTTTCCTCCATCAACTTCTTGAAAAAGTGTGAGGAAGACCTTGGAGAAGCTTCTTGGAGGATAAAAATCACATCTTCCTTGGAAAGCAGAGCTTCTTCATTCATTGGGGAAGAAGCGAAGCGAACTTCTTTGGAGCTCGAACAATCCCAGAGAACACAGCCTCAACCTTCATGTAGGTGAAAAATCTTGAAAATTTCACCGTTTCCATTCTTTGGGCTTCTAATTTTGGATGTTAGAGGATTTAGGTTAGAATTTTTGTGTGATTAGAGGAAACCCCATATGATTAGGAGCTTTGAGCTTCCCCTACGAATCTAAACATCAAAGAATATCGTTTTCCTTTTTTGACCAAAAATCCAAAAGATGGGGTGGTTGTACTAATCAAGTCGTTTGTATCAGTGGTTTCATTCAGATGGATGCTTGAAACCCACCTACAAAGAAGACGAAGACTTCCTTGGGTGTTTCCCTTCTCAGTCGTAGAGAATCCTCTTTGCGAGAGATTCCCCATCTTGTGTCGTGCAAATGAAAGTGAGTGTCTTGTTACATCACAAAATATGGAATTGGTACACCTGTTCATTGCTCGCCCACCCTAGGTTTCATGTGAGATCGCAAGGATGAGCCTGATTTCATCGTGAGAATCGATTGAGCCTCTTTTTACACATGTTTTTGCATTCATATGATTGTGCACATGACATGATTTTAAAATTGCATTGAAAATAGTCATTTTTTTCTTGTGTTATCGATCAATTGCCCACGCTGGTCTGATCGACCTATTTCGTCTGCTTGATCCATTAACCATATTCCGTTTGATCAGTTCAACTGACCCTTTTCCATCAATCGACTGCCTATGCCGCCCAATCGACCACATTTGTTTGTTCGACCAATTGACAGGCACCGATCTTATTGCTTCGACCAATTGACAGGCACCAGTCCTATTGGTTCGACCGACCCTTTCTCGTCGATCAGGAACCCCCAACAGTGCAATCAACCACTTTCATCAACTCGACAGACCAATTGCCACTGGTCTGATCTGTTTGACCAAACCTTTCCTGTTGATCGACCACCACACTGGTCTGATTGACCACTTTTGTCATCTTGACTGATCAACCACTATCGATCTGATCGGCTTGACCACCTCCATTCTCGTCGATCAGTCGACCATGTCAGTCTGATCGATCACTTTCATCGGCTCGACCAAACGAACACCAGGAATCTGATCGATTTAACTGACCCATTCCTTTCAATTGGCCGCTAACGCTGGTCATATCGACCTAATTTGTTGGCTCGACTGATCGACTTCTACCAGTCTGATCGTATTGATCGGTTTGACCGACCCTTTCATATTGCTTGCATGAACACATTCACATCTGCACCTTGCGGTGCACCCATAAGCATATATCCCTATATGCTCGTAGTGGTTCTATGCCTAATTTGGGCACAACAATTTGTGCACGTTTTACGACACTCTTATGTCACCATGCACCATGCACTCTGTGTGTTCACACTTATACTCGTGCATTCTTGCATGCTTGTTTGCATAAGCATGTTGTATGTTTGCATGCCATATGCTTGTGTCCACCTGAGTCCTTGTTCTCACACACTCGTCTTTGATACTCACATGTCTTCTTCAAGATGCCTTTCACAGAATGCCTACGTGGTGTGTAATTCTCTCCAACAAGAATTACATCACCTCACCTCCTATGACACTGCTTCAGACTATCGTAGGCATTTTATCTGAGTCACTATTCTTGCATACTCCTTCAACACTCCTGTGTCCTCCTCAGTGATGGGTTGCACACCAAGCATACCCATGGTGTGATTCTCCCTTAAAAAGAATTACATCACTTCACCTCCTACGACGCCGCCTTAGACCATCGTAATTTATGAGTCACTGCTCCTCGCACACTAACTCTTTAATTCACTGCTCCTCGCACTCTCAACCTCGAAACTCGTTTGTCTCCCTTCTGAGTCAGTGCCTCCTTAGTATACTCACTGTCGAGTCACTGCCTTCTTGACACACTCAACCCCGAC